CTTCTATATATAAAACTTCAAAAGTTTTCATCGATCCTATTAAGAGTTCCGAAGTACCTGTTTGTATGTATTTTGTTGCCAAAATGTCGGTCAATTGCATTTTGTGCGGCAACAAGTAATCACTTTGATATTTCTACCCGCGATAGAGCATACCAAGCTCTACTACCTAGGATATGCCACAATTTTGGCCCTTAAGAAAACTCAATTACTTTGATTAAAAGTTATATTTTCCCTATCATTGATAAGATATGTGTGAAAATGCTGGTTTATTTGACATAAGCTCTCCTTTCATGACTGGTTCATATTCTCTTGTTTAGCTTTTTCTTTGTTGTGGATAGTGTGGTCATATAAAATTACTAAATCAGACCTCTGATATTTTTAACATTACCAAAAAAGGATGATACCTTTACGAAAAGATATTTTCGTAGAAAATAGTATAAACGTAAGGACATTTCGAGATTTTGATAGGCAAAAATTGGTTTATATCAAAAATAAATCTGATATTCGGAATCAGTGTGAAAAATTAGGCTAGACAACATATTTTTCTTCATAAACTATTTTCCATCGAGATTTGACCTGTACGGGAACACAGAGCGAAGTATTAGTGATAAATGACTGAGGGTGAATATAGTACAATTTTCATAAAAAATATTTCACGATCAAAACTATGTTGTTTAGCGTAGTTTTTTATGCTGATTCCAAATATCAGATTTATTTTTGATATAAACCAATTTTTGCCTATCAAAATCTCGAAATGTCCTTACGTTTATACTATTTTCTACGAAAATATCTTTTCGTAAAGGTATCATCCTTTTTTGGTAATGTTAAAAATATCAGAGGTCTGATTTAGTAATTTTATATGACCACACTATCCACAACAAAGAAAAAGCTAAACAAGAGAATATGAACCAGTCATGAAAGGAGAGCTTATGTCAAATAAACCAGCATTTTCACACATATCTTATCAATGATAGGGAAAATATAACTTTTAATCAAAGTAATTGAGTTTTCTTAAGGGCCAAAATTGTGGCATATCCTAGGTAGTAGAGCTTGGTATGCTCTATCGCGGGTAGAAATATCAAAGTGATTACTTGTTGCCGCACAAAATGCAATTGACCGACATTTTGGCAACAAAATACATACAAACAGGTACTTCGGAACTCTTAATAGGATCGATGAAAACTTTTGAAGTTTTATATATAGAAGGACAATATCGCAATAGTTATAGTAAGAAAAACGAGAAGTCAAAAGTTCCACGAATTGAAATGAGAAAGTCACTTTTAGTAAAGAAAATTGCGCAAAAACTAAAAAAAAAAATTACTATGAAAAATTATCAAAGATTTCGTTAGTATTTTGATTGGTTGTATAGGAAAAGGTAATCAGATTGAGCTGAAAATTTCAGGAAATACTAAATTCATTACTTTCTATAACATAAAAAAAAATCAGAGAATTTTGAAATTTCACTCCATCGTCGATGGACAATAGTGACTGATTTTCTCAGGCACTTACTCTGAAAATGTATGAAGAGTAACTAGTGTTTAGGATAACTTTTGATTGAAACTAGATAGAGATCTGCGATTTCCACTGTTAGAAAGAGGACATAAAAATGCATAGAATTCTATATTTCGCATGTCTCTGACAAGTTTTGTTAGGGTCTTTAGCGAACTTTTCTTCAAGAATCAACTTTTTGATGTTTTTTGAAAAAGACTTCACTTTATCCTCGGTAGAATTCTCGAATTTTGAAGAAAAGTTCGCTAAAGACCCTAACAAAACTTGTCAGAGACATTTGCAGTATAGAATTCCATGCACCTTTATGTCCTCTTTCTAACGATGAAAACCGCAGATCTCGATTTCGTCTCAATCAAAAGTTATCCTAAAAACTAGTTACTTCTCATACACTTCCAGATTTTGATGAATTTTTGCAGTAAAAACAAACATGTCACGTCTTTTTCTAATACACTTTTTATACTTCAAACTACATTTGTTATTCAATGTAAGTATACCATAAGATGCAGCGCGTTCTGTGTTTTTTTCTATATATAGAAAGTTAATAAGTTAAAAAGGTCTAGTGATGAAAACTACAAAATACAAAAGTGAGGGAAAATCATTTGAGGTGCACAGTATTATTGTTCTTTATATGTGGTCTGTTACAATCTCTGGTTTTTTTTCAGCTATAACCGAATACGAAGCTACGATTTTAGCGGGAAAATGGGAATGTTCTTTGAAAAGATTGCCAAAGAAGTATTTTAAATTTTATTGCATTCTTTTGATTTGTTGGCTTCTTCTTGTAAATAAAGAAAAACTTACCAATTGAGAACGGATTGAAAGAGTTTTTCTGGAAAAAATTCGAATTGAAAATACATACAGTACCTTTTTTGCGATGGAATAGTCCGCACCAATTCTCGTTGCAGAACGAATTGTCGATCACTGAAGTGTGTACATGGTCAATGGGGTCTGATTTATATGTATTCACCTTTCTTCCCTTACGCATATTCTCTGTCATGACGTAGTTGGAAATTTACATACATGACTAATATTTTAATGAGAAAATTTTGTTCTTATCAAAACCTTTTATCGTTTATTGCTGTTTATAACGAATACCTGAAAAGGAAAATATAATTACAATATATCATTTTCTTTTCTATCAACAGAAAGTATCATCTGCCTCAGGCTCATGAAATCGGTTGTGAAAAAATAATAATTATTATTATAAGATGATATCTGGTGCTCTCCTGTTCTAATGTTCTCATAAAAAAGAAAGCTTTCAACATGAAAGTGTAAAGATCTTTATCATGCCTCTCGGATACAATTTTCTTCTCAATGAATCAACACATGAATGAACTCTGTCTGATCAGGATGTCGGCGTGTATATATAAGATGATTCCAAGCTACTTACGACGATCGTTTCGACCTTGCTTAAGGGTCATCATCAAGTAAATTTGGAATGGTTGAAATCTGCATTGGAAGAGATAGAATCTCAAACAAAATGAAGCTATTTAAGGAGTCAAAGACTTTCTCAGAATAACATTCAAATTAATGAGATAAAATCTAACGTTTCGCAGAAAGTTCTTATAGGTGTATATATACAAGATGATTCCAAGCTACTTACGACGATCGGGTGTGTATAGAAGCTCAAGATTTTATTTAGATATACAAGCGAAAGACTTACGACCGGTTTCGACCTTGCTGAAGGGTCATCATCAGGTAAGTTCGATATCTAAATATTGCTGCATATTGATCAAAATTCAAAAGAGTGGAAGTTCTATAAGAGTTATCGACAAAAGATCAAGAACTCTTAACAAACAACCGAACAAATTTTTGAAGGGTGTGGGGTGGGTGTGGATGTAGGTGTGGGAGTGGGTGTGGGTGTGTAAAGAGTTACCACGATAACCTAATAGATTATTTCTGATGTTTCTAAACTCAAACTCTTGCCAAGTGGCCTCAGCATCAGTTGAGATGATTCAAATAAAATTTGAACCAAAACATGACACCTAAAAATTCTACTTAGTTGCAAGTAGAATACACGTCCAATAGAGTGGGTGGGTAAAGAGTTACCACGATAACCTAATCTATTAGATTATTTCGAATGTTTCTCTGAACTATATGTTGTCGCGGTGCGTTTGGTTGAGGTGGGCGAATGCCAGGTGGTTTTTGTACTGACTGTATTGTATCAATTGTCAATGGATACTATTTTCGTGGCATTTTTACCTTACGGTTTGTTTTTGATACATGCATAATTCATGATGGTTTGAGTCTGTTTGGACAGTTGTTGTGCACATTGTTTTTTGGGCAGCATTGGCGGGATGGAGAGTGTTGGTTTTTGATATAGTTTTGTTTTTTTGCGATGCGACGAAGAGTGATTTGGTTTAGTTGTTTTTATTGTGTCAGGATCGTTGCATTTTGATTTTATTTTCTTTTTTAATCTGAAAAGTTATAAATGAATGTAGTAGTTTATTTCAAATGTGTTTATTATGCAGTAATGAACATTTATTTAATATGTGAAAATAACAATTTACAAGTAAATAGTTAGAAATGTCATTTGTGTGGTAGCACGTGTTCGATGAGTTTCTGAAGAGGGTTTGTGTCTGTGCATGATCTATGGAGTAGAAAGGAATATGTTCAATAAGGTGTTGGTTATTGGTTGAATGCATACTTTATATATATTTTGGGTTCCTCGGGCAAAGTCAAATAACTTGTCGGTGGCTTTTTCTTCACTAGATAGTCAATGGTTTTGTCGAAGAACGACTGATTTTGCCTAACGGTCAAGGAAACATTTTGTGTCATGCCATAGTCTTTTAAATATTGATTGAAGTCTGTATTGAATTGTTGTTCGATTTTCTCGATTGTACTGCCATCCAAGTTTGGTATACAAGGAAGTTGGAATTGTATTTCGGTTTCTTCGTTCTGTTGTCCTTGTTTTTCTTTTTTCTTTGCTTTTCGATATGTATCATAGTTGAAAACATGGTCACGTAGGATTTCATAATTAGATCTAGTATATAGTGGGTAGACAGCCGTTGCACCAAAATCGTGGAGAATTTCTTGATGGGCTTCATTGAAGATAATATCAGATAGTTGATGTTTGTTAAGTTACCACTTCATTTCATACTTTTCTTCATTAAAAATATCTTGATCGGAGCAATATCGGATGGCTTTTAAGAAAGATGCTCGTAGCCATTTCCATGTGTCTTCTTTGATTGCAGGTTTAAGAATATCCCGAAATGATGATAGTAACATAATCCGTTCGAATGTTTCTTTATGATAAACACTTGTTCGAACACTGTAAAAAAATGGAATGCCTATATGAATTCTGGAAGGATATTCAAGGAATGTCCATATGAATTCAACAATGAATTTCCAGCTTTTTGAAAATAAGCAAATGATATTCTAGCTTCGATTTAACATAGGAAATAAAACCGAAATTCTTAGAATTAGAAAATCCAGCATTTTCAAAATATTCGAAATTCGATGAATAAATCATAAGACTTATAAAATCCTTTAGCTTACTCAATATCGATTTTCTTCAAAATAGAATTTAAAAAAAAATTACAGTGAAGAAGTCCATTATTATTAGTTATTAGAATATCACGAAAATGAATAGTTGATCCAATATCAGTTATGTTCCATATAGGTTGTGGAAATTGTGAATTAGCCATAGTAAGTAATACACGAAGTTCATCTTCAGTTCTATTCCATGTAATAAATATTTCATCTCGATATCTATATTGGCGAAGAGAAATAGAATATGATTTTATAATTAAAAAATAGGATACATACCTGAAAAAGAGTTCATTCTTATTAATAAGATCTTCTAATATATCTTGTTGCCAATAAAATAAATAGATATAGACTAATGGAATAGTTAATGATGAACCAGATGCACTACCAGCAGTTTGTCGATATAATTTGTAATTGTAAATAAAGTATTGTTCATCGAGTACGAGACGAACAAGTTGAAGAATTGTACTAATTGTCATACCTTGAATAGAATGATCTGATGAGATGTAAGAATTGAAGAAATGTTCTAAAGCATCCAGAGCTTGTTCATGTGAAAAATTTAAACATAAATCATTAATATTGAATGAAACAAATAGAGTGGTTGGTAGTAGATGATCACTTTTCTGATAGAATTCCATGTGATGTATAACATTATAAGCTTTGTGAAATTTTTTACAATGAGTTGCATCATTAAAGAATAATTCAAGAAGACGACCAAGATAACGACTAATACCCATAGTTGGTCCAGCATTACATACCATAATTGGTTGAACTGGAATTCCTTCCTATAGATAGTTATATGACAAGATAAAATATAGGATAAAAGTTAATGATGAAAGATATACATACTTTGTGTGTGTCTGGTACGAAGTATAAATAATTCATTCGTACTGTAGATCGATTGATCTTCATAGCCATATATTGTGCTTCAGTAATAGATTTAGATTCGAATAAGTTGTTCAATGTTGTTTCAACTCGTTCAACAATGTTAGCTAACCGTTTTTGACTAGCAGTCGGATATGAACGACTGAGCTTAAAAACGAATGAATAGCTGCTTGTTTGATTCATGAATTGATTGACTTTCTTATAAAAAATATCTACTGACTCTTCATGATATCCAATATCTTTATAAATTGGTCGTAAAATAAGATTTTCATCTGTTAATTGTTGGCGAATTTGTTGAAGTTTCTCTTGGTAATAACATGCTTGTCGACGTTCGAATCGAGTCATAGATTGTAAACGCACATCATGAGTGAGATATGGACCATCACTCCAATGAATATTTTTGTCACTTGATGTTTCTTTATGATGGTAAGTTATTTCTTTGTCGTCACTATCATTATCACTATCATCAGACGAAGACCAATCATTTTCGTTGATACTATTGTCCTTGTATGGAAATTCACTTGTCAAATAATGACTTCCACTTTCTAATTCGTCATCAGATGAGACTGATGAGATGCCAGTTGTTTCAGTTGTGTCATTGGTTTGGTAAGCCATTGGAGATAAATGAAGGTATATATTCTTTACTTTAATATCAAAAATATAGATAATAAATCTGAAACGAAAAAAGAAAAAGACAATGAGATTCTATATGTTACAGGTGATCAATTCTTCTAACACAAAAACAAATTTATTTTATTGAGAGTAACACTTATCATTATTTTTGTTCAAAAAAAAGGACAATTTATTATATTTTATTTTTTAATATATATAGTATAGGTAGAGGTTTATATGGTGTAGAGTTTTCTGTTACGTGTACAACGGGATTTTTATGGAGTTCAGTTACTTTGCATATTGACTTGTATACCCGTCTGTGTAAGAGTAGTTTGGTTGAATATGTTTGCGACTTTTCCTAGTAGTTCATAATCACGACGTTGTTTCATACTGTGTTCACGTTGGCTAATGATCTTGATGATTTGATCGAGTTGCTGAATATTTTTATGATGAGATCTTGTACATTGTAACTTATTTTTTTCATTGTTGATTATTTTGTTGTAGTATTGCACAATTTGTTCGGCATTAGCGATTGTTTGTTCAGCGACATGTTCGGCAGATGATGTTGGACGTTGAAAGGATAATGATATGAATATATGGTTTATTTTTGGTAGTTGAACATCTTGAAGTGTATATGATGATGCTTGTGTGTGAACTTCAAGCCATTTCTTAAATATAGCAATTTCATCGATTATGTTTTGCTGTTCATTCATAGCTTTCCATATAAGCTTTGCTGATTTTATCTAGAATTGGAAGGGTTTTTCTTTTGTCAATTGAAAAAAACATCAGTGCGCTTACTTCCGTTTGTCTTGGCTTTAGTTCATAAAAGGTTTCAATGAGTCGATGTTCTAGAGCATCTAGTCGAAGCATTGTTTTTCGTCTTTCAAGTTCAAGTCGTAATTGATATTGATCTTTTTCGATTAAATTATGGATCATATTAATAATATTGTCCATATCCATAATGGATGGTGTATTTTTCATATGCTCATCAAGAGCCTGTTGAGCTTTTTCATATTGTAGTTTATGTTTATCAAGACGTTGTTTAATTAAATGTTTGGATCGACCATAAGTATAACACATTGAATTTGCATCAGCCATTTTTTTAGATACTCGACCATTCCAAATACCTTCGGTCATGCCAAGATTATAATAATATGACCATTGTTCATGTTGTAATTTAGAATAATTTAATCGATTGAGTAATTGTGTAAGTGCACGAATAAATATGAATATGTCTTTCTGATTCAATACTTCAATAAGGTTATCTTGATTTATAATAGTTGATGCTGATGTTAATAATCTTTGTGTAAATTGATTATCCGACAATTTTGAATAATCCGGTAATAAATAGGTTGGATCAGAACTGGTTTCCATATCTATAGCATAGGATTTGTTTTTGTTGGATAAACCTTCAGATGTTAAGTCATGTTGAATGTATACATTTGTTTCCATATTTGCTACATGAAAACCGAATTTGCTGGAGACCTTTTTCTTTTTTATACGAAGTTGACGTCTGTTCTTTTTCTTATGTTGACCATTTGGAATTTGTTGACTTTGATTGTATTTGTTTTTCATGGTTGTTTGTTGAGAGTTTTATTAAAACTTTTGTAGTAATCTTCGAGTTCAATTGAGTAAAGTTAGATATCTGAAATGAGAAGAAAATCTATTATAGAATTTTTTTTCAAATACAATACAAGTGTGGATAGAAAAAAACCAGTGAATATAGATTGCAATAGATTTACAAAAGAAAGAATGAGAAAACAAAAAAGACATTTTGATGTCTATACAATATTCTTCAGATATTTGTGCCATCACGATTGATTCCATTTGTTTTTTGTTCTAAGCAAAAATAACAAGTGATATAGAGTCACAAGAAAACTAATAGATTATCTCTTACTCTTTGCTAATGGATCTTTCAATAAGGATGACGCTGGTCGTTTACGTGAAAGTTCAAATTCAATGTTTGGATTATTTCGAAAGCCAACAACTAATCTTATTTCTGCCTTATCGGTGTTTTTAAAGTGATTATCATGTATAATATGTATTTCACGAGCTAAACCGTTAAGTCTAGCTTCATGTGTAATATGGATAAAGAAGTTCTTTTTAAACTTGTCATTGTTTCGTTGAATGGTTGCTTCGAAATTATTTATATTTGGTTGTATAACATTTTGTGTACGCTGGGTAAGTTGTACAGTAGCTGCACTTATGGCTAGTTGTGTTTGTTTTGCTGTGGGTTCATTTAATAATTTTTGACGTAATGCTAAAAATTGACTTTCATTCGTAATCATAGGTAAAATTGGTGGAGAAGTTGAACTTAAATAATCAGCAAAGAATTTTTCAAATTGCTGATTAATATAATTCGATGGATATCTACAAAGGATAAAAATGAATGATCTTTTAGTGACATTGTCAATGAAAATGTTGTCAATGATATACCTATTATATAAGAACATTAAACGAATGGCACGCCGTTCATGATTAAATATTTCAAATGTTGATAAGTATCGTACAGCACGAGTGAGAACCGTTTGAATCACATTTCGAAAGACATGTCGTGGATGATCGGATAGAAATGATACGACAGT